GAATATTCTTGAGGGAGCACTGAGCCGAAGCCCTGAGCGAACCAGTAGGTTTAACGTCAACAAAAAAAAAACTCCATATCCTGTAGTCCGCAAGCGAACTATACCAACCGAGCGACCGCAGCTTGTCTGCGAAGTTAGTGCCAACTTTAGCGGATAGAGGGTGTCACGTAGTCAGCGCAAAGGATACACACGGCCGTTAATCTCGGTTTTCTAGACCGAGGTTTAACGTCAACAGTGTAAATAATATTGACCCTTTAAAGGGCTGTTTTCTAAGGACAGAATGAATGGCAGGAACATGACCCTGAGTGAACCAACAGCGAAGACAGGAGAAACAGAGTAAGGGAACAACGGCCCTCTAAAGTTTCGGCCACACAAAGCGCTACGTACGCGACGTACGCTACGTACGTTATGTTCGCTATACAACAGAAAAATATCTCCCTTTATTGCCAGTGTGACTGGCCACACAGACTTCCGTACGCTACGTACGCTATGTTCCCTATGTTAGCTATGTCGCAGAGTGTACACAGCGCACGTAGCGTAGATAGCGAACATAGCGTAGCGTTCTGTGTGGCCGAACCTTAAAGAACCGTCGTTGAAGGACAGAGCAAATGGAAGAAAAGCTAAAGCACTAATAATAACTGATACAGAGGAATACGCGTGGTTGAGGGGAGAAAGAAGAAACTAAATATATATTTATACAGTGATATAACTGGCAACTGAAATAACAGAAAACACATTTAAATTTCGTGTGTTTAAAAATTATTAAAAGAACAGTGGTGAAGGAACGGTATGAGATGGGGATAAGTAAGGAGAACAAAGTAAAGAAAAGTGGCCTTTTAAGGGCCTGTTTTCCAACATGTACAGACCATGAAGTCTCACAGAGACCCGCGGACGTTATGTGGTACAAGAATAACAGCGGTATGAAAGTGAAAGTTTATTGGCGAGAGTATTACAGCGGGCTTTGCAGCCAACCCAACGGCTCACTCAGCAAAAAGCAACTGTCAGGGGCCATGTTTTCTTGTGCTTCCCTTTCATATGATGGAATTTGAAAGTGCACTTCGTGCAAGAGACTGGCTTCCTACTGCTAATTCTCCCCCACATTAATTTCGTCACTGAAGCGTTCACTAGGAAGCCCTAGACATAGGTGGGGGGATAATATTTCCACGTGATTGTGACTAGAGACGAGGTTTTGGATTGGTAACTGGGTTTATTGGACACTTACACTCGTAATTACAAATAACTACGACAGTCTCCCTGAGTTACGCACTCCAAAGATCACTAACTACAGCATATATAAAGTCTTCATTGGCTGTTGCATGGTAGCGGCTTCCAACGTCGGACGTTCTCCTTCCTCTGGGTTCAAGAACTGTCTCTGTCCTCAGTTACGTGTTTCTCATTTCTCACAATTGTTACTCTCAACCGGCCTTCTACAAAATTGCTTTTGGTGCTCGCCAGCAGAGTGATACTTGTTTCTGAGTTCCATGGGATTCATGACTCCACTAAGCATAGTGTCAGAGTTACTTTATTACTGGCGGTTTACCAACAATCAGTTCGTCTTTGCGCCAAACACCTTGAGGATCTCGATCAGAGCCACTGTTAACAGAACGTGCAGGCCCATGGGGTTATGAGATGTCGAGGCTGCCACATCTTCTAGAAAATCGGTTCGCAGATGGCGGTAAGGTTGTCAGCCTTACGCGCCGGCCGCCCTTTACCTCCCCAGGAAGATTCCTGGTACTCATTTCCGTTAGAGGCTGAGTCATTTCCAGAGCCATAGTGCGGCTGGAAGGATTACATCAATTGAACAAACTCCAATGACCTCATCGGGAATCGAACCCCCGACCTTCCGGTTTGTAGCATAGTGCTTTAATCAATTACCCTACAGCGTTATGCTTAGAAATTATTTAAATAATCGGTTATTTGTTTGACATTAACGTTCTCGTGGAAGTATCAAGATTGCAGACATGTAGGATATGACGTAGTGTAAGCACCAATATTTCCATCTGGATATTATGGGACGGTTTTACCGAACCAAACAGACGTCTGCATACTTCAACTAAACCGCGTGGCGTCACACACCAGCAGACCGCAAATCTTCTTATTTACTGAACATCGAAGTCAGCCGAATAGATTTTCACACTGGCCGAATTTGTCCAGTCCTGAAAAAGGAC